AATTATTATTATTATTATTATTATTAACAACTATCCTGTAGTGTCCTGAGAAATGCTGCTGTTTGATGAGTTTCCCCTCAAGCCAGCTTCAGTCTGAAAGGAAAACTTAAACCACATTCATTTTGCAGCTAAGCTGAGGCGTGTTCATTTGAGGCAGCCATTGTATGTGTGCAGATGACAGTTTCACAAACAGGAGTTTGGTGAGGGTTGCAGGGGCAGGGAAACCAAACAGGTAATGCACATTGGGTGAAGGCTTAGCAGGGGTGCGGGACAACCTTGCTGTGTTTTAAACCACTAATGCCCACATGGTCTTTGGTTATATAGCTCCCATCTCTGGCTATCTGTCTGCCACCACTGGGAACACTTGCCTTCTAGGAGAACTGTATAGTCAGAGTCAGGTGACTTGCCTCAGAAATCTCCTTTCATTTGTTTATGGAACTTTGCTTCCAGCTACCTGCAGTATAAACCAACCTTCATGAACCTGGTACCCTCTGGATGTTTTGGACTACAGTTGTCATTAGCTCCAGACACCATAGCCATGCTGGTTGGGGCAGATGGGAGTTGTAGCTGAACACATCTGGAAGGCACCAGGTTGGCAAAGACTACAATAAATGGCGGTTGTGTTGTGGTTGCCAGCCTGGTATGATTTGCTCACTGGTCATGGTGTGAATGATTTACTTCCCCTATGTGAAGCTTCTGAGGCCACTCTCTGGTAAAACTTGAGCATATTAACCCCTGCTTTAGGGAAACAAGAAGGTGAAATGGAGAGAAAACGTGGAAAGCAGACATAATTTTCCTCCTCAGGACTCAAAATCTATCTCAAGGTGCCCTGTCTGAGACTGTGTTTCCCTCTTGAAGACACAGGATAAAAAGGGTAAAGGGACCCCTGTCTGTTAAGTCCAGTCATGGATGACTTTGGGGTTGCAGCGCTCATCTCGCTTTACTGGCCGAGGGAGCCGGTGTTTGTCCGCAGGCAGTTTTTCCAGGTCATGTGGCCAGCACGACTAAGCTGCTTCTGGCGAACCAGAGCAGCACACAGAAACACCGTTTACCTTCCCGTTTACCTATTTATCTACTTGCACTTTTGGCATGCTTTCGAACTGCTAGGTTGGCAGGAGCAGGGACCGAGCAACAGGAGCTCACCCCGTTGTGGGGATTTGAACCGCCAAACTTCTGATCAGCAAGCCCTAGGCTCAGTGACCACAGCAGCAACAAGAGTATTTAAAAATGTGCTAGGTGTTGAAAATCATTTGCTAATCACACTTTTTTGGGGGCATTCTTTTCTATCCACCTTCCTTTGTCGATTTATTTCATGCTGCCTGTTTTTCCTCACTAACTTGAATTCCTGGTTCTGATTTACCTTTTGGCTCCTTTTGATCCTTATACCCATGTGCTCTTACATGCTGTAAAGATCTATATGAGCACCTGGTGCTTCTACACTTGTATAGCTTACCTTGATAGAAAGATCAATTAAAAAATCAACATGATCCAATGAGATGTAGCGCCAGTAGTGGATATTTGCAGCCCATAAGGGATTAAACTAGATTGTGCCAAGGATCATAGCAAGGATTAGGGTTGACTGCAATGGATATTGTGTAGGATTAATCAATTTCTATTCTGGGAAATACATTGTAACAAATCCATGACCATCTAAGCATTTCACGGTTGTCACTCTTGTGCATACCGCATCTGTTCAGACAAACCACATTAGAGACTGGGTGAAAAGTCGGCATTTCCTTTTCCTTTAAGCTTGTAGAAAGACTGCTATTAGGGAAATATGATCCCTGTGATTAACGTCTGCTCTTAGTCAATATATGCATGACCAATATACAAACACTGTATATTTGTTACTCTAGGGGTAGCCAACATGGTGCCTTTCAGATATTATTAGGCAATGGTCACATTCTCACTCTACATTTAAAGTGTTATGATATCACTTTAAACAGTTGAGGCCTTTCCCAAAGAATTCTGGGAGCTCTTAGTTTCTTAAAGGTGCTGAGAGGAGTTAGGAAACCTCTATTTCCCTCCCAGAGCTACAATTCCCAGAGTCATTTAACTATCATTCCCTCTTCGCAGAAAGCTATGAGAAGTGAAGTTCTGCCAAAATACCTCCAGATCAAATTCCAGCGAAGTCACTTGAGGAAAACTGAGCTATGGGATTCCTTGGCACAAGAACAATGTTGTGGCAAATAAGTTAGAATTTCCAAACACGCATTAGATACCAGCAGAAAATGCTATCAGCAAAAACCAGCTGATTATGCAAAACTCTGCCACCATTTTGTGACAAACTCTGTTATTCGATACCAGCAGAAAATGCTATCAGTAAAAACCAGCTGATCATGCAAAACTCTGCCACCATTTTGTGTCAGACTCTGTTTGGTGACTGGTGAGCTTCAGCTATTTTTGGTCACCTGAAGTGGGCCTTTCAGGTTTACAATTTTAGAATAAGGTTACCAGATGTCCCCTTTTCCTGGGGACAGTCCCTGGATTTACAAATCAGTCCCCATACAAAATCCATTGAAGTTGAAAAGTGTCCCCGGATTCATTGAAAAAAATCTGGTAACCTTATTCTAGAACTCCTGCACTGCACCATAATGGTTCATTTAGGTTGCTTTCTTTGGTTGTTCTTACAACATTCCTGCTAATATATGCAACGGCCGCCCCTTTGATTACAACAAATTATGTGGTTATGTAGCACCCTAGATAGTTTCTTAATAGGGCAAGCATTATAATTGTGATATATGGACCCACATGGTCCAACTTCATCATGTGGGAATAAGTTGTATATGTTGTTGTGCGTTGTGTAGGCACAACCATGGGAGAGAGCTGCAGCCATTCTACTGCAGGTAGAATGGGATTCTGTGGGTATGTTCTACCTTCCTGACTCTGAATGCCTGTTGCTTGGAATCACAATTGGGGAGAGAACTATTGTACTCAGGTCCTCCATTGGGCTTCCCATGGGCATCTGGTTGGCCTCACTGAGAACGGGATGCTGGACTAGATGGGCCATTGGCTGGATCCAGCAGGGCTCTTCTTTTGTTCTTATGTTCTTAAGCCCAATGTATAGGTTGCCTCTTCTGAAAACGGATACAATTTCAGGCAGGCTACTTGAATGTTCTGTCCGTGATGTTTGATATCTGGTAGCTGTTCCACACATATATGTAGCTGTTCCACACATATATGGTATACATCAGGCACCCCCAAACTTGGCCCTCCAGATGTTTTGGGACTACAATTCCCATCATCCCTGACCACTGCTCCTGTTAGCTAGGGATGATGGGAGCTGTAGTCACAAAACATCTGGAGGGCCAAGTTTGGGGGTGCCGGTACACAGGTTGCAACCACTGAATGATGAATGCATTCACTTTCAGGTGCCTCTAATTTGAGGAGATGTAGTACTGTATTGGTGAAATTTCTAGCCTTCCTCTTCCACCACAGTCATGACTTAAATGCACCAGGTTAGGACCAGGGCATATTGTACAATGTAGTGTGTCCTGCAGTGGATGTGAGAGTCTCTCTCTCTCTCTCTCTCTCTCTCACACACACACACACACACACACACACACACACCACTATCTTGTTCCAGGGAGGCTTGCTGAGCTTCCCTTAGTCTGCTATAGTGTGCAATGGAGTGTACTGTAGAAACTGAGTATGTGCTAATCACCATAATCATAACATATATTTCATGGTAAAAGAATAGAGTTTCCTGATGGAAATAAATATTTACACAACCATTTCCACAAATTAGGTTTTTCTGCTTGGGAATTTACCTTTTCTTTTTCTTTTACAATCTTGCTTATGCAAATACCAAAAAGGCCAACCAACACATTTGGATAACTGGGCATTCGGATAAACAAAAGTACTGTTTTGCATAAGGGCTTCATTTGCATGCAACTAATAGGACAGTTTCTTTTGGACTTGAGCAAATACATTTCTGGATAACCTGAGATCAGTGGGTGGGGAGGGTTTTTTATTGCAATGTACAATATTGCAAGGACTGCAAAGAAATTGCAATAATATAAGCATGAATACATATGGTCCTATTGAAAAACAATCCTATTATTCCTGTGCAAGGTCTCATCACCATATTTCAATCAGAGCAGAGTATGTTCTCCTATGTAAGCTAACTGCTTTCTCTGCAGCCAACATTATCTGCTAATGGCATATCTTAACTGGAGTGATTTTGCCAAAACAATAGGCAATATAGCAACCATGATGGGCACCCCAGCAGCATCCCTGGCAGCTCTGACTATCAGTCTCAGTTTTGAACATGAATGGCACTCTTCTCCATTAGGTGGGCACTGAAAGCACCAACCAATATGTGTTGCTGTCACAATGATGTCACACTATCTGGACCACACCCATTCTCAAGCACACTTCCAGGAAATTTTCATACCCATTTCCCCCTATAAAAGTATCCCCTAGTGCGCTTGAAAAGAAATGTTGGGGCGTGTGGGTGTGTGCATGTGTGCTTTTATTAGTTTAACCAACCCTGAGTTAGACACAGACAGCAGTTTGGTTTAAAATTTAATTAAAGAAAATTATTCCACAGCTGTAATCTAGGCTGAGTCAGACAGGCACGCTAGGCTGCCTTTGTTTTTTCAGAAGTCTTTGGCAGGGTTGCCCACCACAAGAGACCAACCATTTGGTTCAGCTGCGACCCTCTTCAACACCTCAGCTGTTAAGGCTGCACCTGGTAGGCAGAAGAATGTGACTTTGAAGGAACCCCTTTTTACCATACCCAGCATGCTGGAGCTGTCAACAGTTTCCCTCTGTACAGCATCATCCTCGCTTGTCACTTCACTAAGCAACACCTTTGTTCTGTTCCATTGTGTTTCTCAGCAGCTTTGCATTGGCTCTTAGATCTAGCAGATGGGCTGTCCATCACCCTTGGAAGACCACATCAGAATTCTGCAACGGTGCTTCTACAGAGAGAGGTCAGCCCTGGCTGAGGTAGGAGCAATGTGAGTTTTCCTTTCCCAACCACCCCTTGCTTTACATTTGCCCAAAAACATTGCAGTGTGCTGTCTCAGAAATATCTGTTTCTGAGACAGCACACTGCAATGTTTTTGGGTTAAGTCTGCCTATGACGAACTACTTTCATTTTAGTACCTAGGGGATGGATTGTGGCAGTTCTGAGGCTTTCCTCTGAGGCTCCATTTAATTGATCTAGTTGATGCCTTAGGAGGAGCCAATGCATCTTCTCAGTTATCAGTGGGAGAGGGAAGCTGAATAAAGGTGTGATAAATTCACCAAGACTTCTTCACCAAATATCCATTGCTTCTTAGAGAGATTCTTGCTTCCCAGGTGCTTACAAATAAAACTGCATCCTTTTTCTTAATAAACACACACACACACCTGCTGAGGGGAAGGACAGAGGAATGTTGCCTTTTGAACACAGTTTCTGGGGTGGCTGCTATCACATAGCACTCTCACATCTGGTGTAGCAGAGCCTTAACAAGAAGTTTTAAGAGGGTTATATTTCTATAGAAAATATTCTGCATAATAATTACAAGATTCCTGTTTGGTCAAGGTCCCCATGAACACCACCATTGTTTACCAGTGAGAGACAGTCAATCAAACCAGCCCTTTGCAAGCTTATTAAACTCTAGCCCCTTACAGTATGTTCAGGCATAACTGAGTGCACTATGTGGATTGTCCAGCAGGAGTTAAGTAATCATAACCATGAACATTTTACCCACAATTGCAAAAACATGCCAGAGGTAGCTGAATTTCCAGCTCTGGTAAGTGGTACTTTCTGTGACACAGAGGTTTAAATCATCCATCAACACGGGGCTTCCAGCAATCTGACATAAAGCAGGGATTGCAAACGTTTGGTCCTCCTGATTGTTGGGACTGCAGTTCCCATCAGTTCAAGCCAGCATTGCCAAAAGTCAGGGATGATGTGTGTTGCAGTCCAACAACATCTAGGGTAGCCACATGTTTTCAAGTGCTGACATAAGGTATGCCCACATTGCTATTGATGTCCTATTATGAAGAAAGCTGTGACTGACAACTGGGTATGGCTGGGTGGGTATGGATAGCTAAGCACTGAGGTGCGGCAGTAAGCAATTCAGAGGATGACATACCAATGGCGTGTCAGCAAATGATGGGACAAAACACTGACAGTGAAAATTATGAGGTTGAGGAGTGTTGGGGATTAGCACTTCCAATGTCTTTAATTCAGTTTGCTGCCTTGGGTAAGCTGCTTGCTTATATCTAGTCCAGCACTCTGTTTTCTCTGACAAGGGTCAAGTAAATGCCTCTGGGAAGCTTAGAAGCAGAAGGACACGAAGTCAACTGGGCTCCCTTGCTGTTTGCACTCAGCATCTGGTATTAAAAGACACCTTGCCGCCTCTGAATAGGAAGGCTCCATGTTACAGATACTGGCTCCTTTGACTGGAACAGGGAGAAGCTTTGAGTGGAAAGCAGAGGTGTGGGGTGGAATTGATTGTCAACATCCTCCCCTGCAGGTGGCAAGCCTCACTGCATTCTGTAAAACAATTTCTACTAGGCAGTAGAGCACATGCATTGCACGAAAAGTGTCCCAGGTTTATTCCCTAGCAGTTGCAGGTACAGATGGGAAAGTCTGTTATTCCATACAGCAGCTGTTAGTATAGACCAGGGACAGCCAACCTGACTCCATCCAGATGTTGCAGGACAACAACTCCTACCATCTTTGTCCATTGGCCATGGTGGCAGGGGCTGATGTGAGGTGGAGTCCAGCAGCATCTGAAGAACTACCAGGTTGGTCGCTCCTGGTGTAGTTGATACTGAGCTGCATGAACCGACGATCAAGGCAGCTTCCTACGTTCCTATATTGAACCAAGTTTCATCTGCTTCTCTTTGCAAACATCTGCATTGTGTTTAAGGCCGTCTCCTAGGCAAAGTCCCTGGAATGGAGCATGTTAAAAATATAGGTAGATCAGTCAATAAAGGCAGCTGAAGGAGAATGGACGACTGCGCCTGGGAGTGGAGAATCCTAGAATTACCCGCAGGGGAAAGGGTCACTAATCAGCCTGTTTACAGCGCCTGAATAGACGGCTATGGCTTCCCAGAGACTGAACGTGACGGTTTCGAGACGAAACCCAAGGAAAGAGAAGAAGATTTGAGGTGGTTTCCTCCCCCCGTTTTTTTCTAACCGCCTTTGCAGGCTCACGCCTTAACTCTTTAAATGCACTAACTGCACTCTGAGGAGAGGGAGGGAGATTGCAGGAGCTGTCCACTCGTCTGAATAAACTGCAAAAAGTATTGTTCAAAAAACAACCCCAATTTTGGGGCGGGGGGATCATTCCTCTGTAGTGAGGCATTCGTAGGACGGGGACAGAGACGATGTATTTTATTTTTAAACACACACGTTCCTGCAGCCACCATTTATACTTTCTCGGTTTAGGGAAGTCTCTTGGGGAAATCCACCTGTAATGAGCTCTGTTCTCGACTTGGATATTTTGCAGCGGTGTGGGGGGCATAATTTCTCCTGTTGTGTATTATTGTTTTAAATTCATGACCACAGTTTATCCTTTCTATTAGCATTTCTCCGCCTACAAAAAGAACGTTAGGGCCCCCCCCCCCGCGCCTTCTCATTTGTAACTTGCTGTTCCACAGCGAAGATATGTGAATCATCCTAGAGACGGAAATTTGTTGCGCTTGACAGCTGGGCTCTTGACCACTTTTACACGGAATAAAGTCCCGTTGGTTTTATTTCAAGTTCGATTTACACCCAAGTAAGTCTGTACAGAATCGCGGATCTGGATTCCTAGCCTTTTGTTGAGTGTGGAAATAGTAACATAAATGTATTTTTGTGCTTGTGTGTTGCGCTTCAGAGACTCACAGAGTCGACAGCATCAGTGCATGCATGGAGTCTTCAGTGGAAGTTCCAAAGGCGTGAAATTTACTTCCACATAAGGCTTCGGTCCTATGCACTTACTTGGGAGTAAAGCCTCGACGCGACTTGCTTCCGAGGAAACGTGCCAATCAGCCACGGATCGCTGTGAGTGCTCAGTGGCAATACTCAGGATCCTTTCCGCGCTCAAACTACAAGAAATCCAGAACCGCGATCCTATGCATCCTGGGTAGATATACTATTGGAAGCAGTGGGACTTCCTTACGAACCAACAGGAACAGATCAGGTTTAAATTCTCTCTCTCTCTCTCTCTCTCTCTCTCTCTCACACACACACACACACACACACACACAGCCTAGCCTAGCCTGTTACTTCAGCGGCCTCCGTTACGAGACTATCAAAGCAGGAGAAAGAAAAGCTGTCCATTTCTGAGTGTTGGGGAAACCCGGGAGATCTGTGGCTCTGACTGCATCGCTTTTCTAGCCCGCGCCCTCCCCATCCGCCCCCGCCACTCGCCTCCCCAGGGCCAAAGCGGCGGTGTTTCCCATTCCGCGGCGCCACGCGAGGAGAAAACCCCCCGGCGGTGGTCCTCCTATCGGCTTTCCTCCTTGGCTGTTGTTGTTTTCCTTGCCCACGCACGCCCGTGTGAGTTTCTCGCACTCGCTCCTTCTGCTAACACAGAGGCACCGACGCGCGGGCGCGCACACACACCGCCGGATTCCGCTGGAAGTGCAGCGTGGTTGGTGAACGGCTCGGTCTAGTTCAGCCGCTGCGTTTCGCTGGGGCGCAGCAGCTCCTCCCCTTGGTGGTGCTATCCTCTTACTTGATCAAATCCTCGAACGTGAACAGTTTCACTGAAAAGCACTTTTTTGGGGAGGAAGGGGGGGACAAAAAGAAAGAAAAGAAAGAAGAAGAAAAGAGAAAGAAAATCCACCAAGTGAAAGAACAAGAGTCCCAACTATACAGGAGTGTGTCTGTGGTTTTGTTTCGGTTTTTTTGCGTGGCGGTGGGGATTTGTTTGAAAAAGAAAACAACTGCTCGTCATCAGAGAGGAAAAGGTGGAAGAAGAGACCTTTGGCTGCCAAGGAACCCTCGGAATCAACCAGCTTCTCTCCTCCCTCCTTTTCTAAAGGATCTGCCTCCCCCACCCCCCACCCCAAACAGGCAACTCTCTCTGCGAGGCATGGAGAGAGGCTCTGGCTGGTCCTCGGGCTGCTGCTCCATCGCTTGGATCGCCTCGACATGGCTCTGGCTGGGCACTTGGCGTTTCACCGGCGCTGAGATAACTTGCCGCTCTTGCTTTGCCGCCGCCGCTTCGTTCTCCACATCTCCGGCATCTTTCCGGGTCCAGCTTCAGCAGCAGCAGCCGCCGCCGCCGCCTCTGGAGGTTCCTCGGGGAGTGCCGCTTGGGCCAAGCGGGGACGGTGGCGGCGAAGGGGAAGCCCTGCCGGGGAAACCCGGCGGAGGATGGGGTGCTGGGGGCGAGGGAGAAGAAAGAGAAGGCGGCGGCGGAGGAGGAGGAGGAGGAAGGGAAGAAGCGCTCCGGAAGGATCGGGGTCCGGGAAGGGGTCAGCCGGCGGCTCGGGGGGTGGGTGGGCTGAGCGCCGGCGGGGCGCGCCGGGGAGCGGCCGCCGGCGCCCTGAAGGGAACCGGGAGAGCGCGCCGGAGCCCCACGCCCGGCCAACTCTTCTCGGCCAGGGCGAGGGGCAGCGGAGACTCGCCGGCGCTTGGCCGGGAGGAGACGGAGGAGGAGGAGGAGGAGGCAGGAGTCTCTCTTGGCAAAATGCCGGGCGGCAACCCTCGTGAGCGCAGGGCCAGGAGAAGCGCCGAGGAGCGGCAGCCTTTGGCCCCGGACAGCCTCGGGGCAGAAGCGGGCGCCTGGGGCGTCTCCTTGACCGACGGCCAGAAAGCGCCGCGAGCGCCAGGCAAAGGTTCCCGGGAGGAAGGGCGCACCGGCAAGCTGAGGGGAGCGGCAGGCGGCGGAGAAGAGTGGAGGCTGAGCAGCACGACCTTTGCCCTCGCCGGAGACTCGGCCCACAACCAAGCCATGGTGCACTGGTCCGGCTACAACAGCAGCGTGAGTCAAAGGGCCCCTCGGGGACTGGGGCGGGAGGGCTGGGCTGGGGGGTCGTAGTAGTGCCATGGTTGGGCAGGCACAGGTCCACTCCCTTGGTTTTCCTCCTTTGCCGAAAAGAAGAAGAAAAGTTTTCCCTTCCCCATTGGCTGGGCTGAAAT